TCCTACTCCTTACTACCTCTACCCATCCCCCTACCTCATCCTTCTCCTCCTCCCTCTTTTGTTCTTGCCGTCGTTTTCTATTTTACCTCTTGCTCTCGCATTGCTCGATATTATACAGTGCGTTTCATAACAATAAGGTCACCCTAAAATATTGCATTTCCGGGACCAGCAGCCAACTGGTGATTTTTCCACTATCACCAAATGATTCCCACTATGAATAACCCCTGTATCGCAATTTTGGTGGGAGCAGCTTTTCTTCGAACTTTTTTGTAATTATTTTTCGATTTTTGCACCGTTTCATAATATAAGGTCACCCTGAGAAAAGAACAATTACCTAAGATTAATGACAGATAAAATAGACATAATAATGTATGGTTCCTCCTTTATCAAGGGCAACATTGAATAGTCTCCGTGGCCTACCGGAATTGAGATTCCAAGGCAGATCACCATCGATTCACTTCCGTGTTCAAGGGTTGCTTGTACACGCTCTTGTGTAATTTTAACTGGCGTTTATCCGCACTATTACTCATGACGAAGATGCCCCTGAGATGTTCTACTAGAACACGACTAGAAATTCAGAAAAATTTGTTCAGTTCATCAGGGTTTCGAGAGAAATGCTGCTTCTGGTTGAATGACCTACATGGGTACCTGTACTGTTCTGTATGACCACGTAGGCTAGCCGACTTCATCAGCTCAAGGAAGAGGTCAGATGTCCTCGCAAGGCTCTATGCTAATCTTTGGAGTCCATTATGCAGTTTATGGAAGCGAAATTTTGACACAACATCATCACAAAAGCACCCACACCTTTCACATCTCCTTAACTAAAATTGCAAGCGCTGAAGTGAATCGGCCACCTTCGCAAGTCACTTCAAAAGTGTTTATATTCGCAGGATCTGTTTGTATAAACCAGTTTTGTCCAAAAATACCAACTTTACTGGAATTATCTTGCTATATGGTGCGACTGTGGAGCAGACTCAACCTTGTTCAAACTCTCTTCAAGTTCAACTTTACGGGTTGAAGTTGTGCCACTTTGCAATGGCCACTGAGCCTTCGGACCATCTTTGTTGCTTTCCTGGTAATGTTGTTGCATAATTTCACCGCACTCCAGTTCATATTTTTCAAGATAGAAACCTTAAATCAGGCACGACGCCGATTTGAAGCGGAAATACTGCACGGGACAGCCCTCATAACTCTTCTCTAATCATTTATAGAAACCATTTTGTGGATGTTCTGATATTGTAGAATATCTGGAGACGTAGGAGCTTTTCAATTATCCATGAGCAGTGCTAATGACTGTCCGAAGTTCTTTGGAAAGACTCGCGAACCGTGCCAAGCACCATGAAATGCATAAACTTTACCTTTTCTTCAAAAGGCGAGTACGAAACATTCCATAAATTTAGCTACTGGGTGTGTTTGTAACAAACATTCAATTTCACAGGCAGGTTGGTTGTTTCCGATAATGTAGTATTCATTTTCACAGGGTGACCTTATATTATGAAACGGTGCAAAAATCGAAAAATAATTACAAAAAAGTTCGAAGAAAAGCTGCTCCCACCAAAATTGCGATACAGGGGTTATTCGTAGTGGGGAATCATTTGGTGATAGTGGAAAAATCACCAGTTGGCTGTTGGTCCCGGAAATGCAATATTTTAGGGTGTGAGTCCTATAGTTTTACTGCCCCCAACGCAAACCTGTAGTAAGTCGTCCCGCGGGTCCCGTGTGACTTGCACAGAAGTGATGCAACATCTAACAAATAAGTCTCCGGTGCCAAACATTCTAATGATCATTCACAAGAATTGCTATAGCTTGTGGAAACAAAAACTTTCGCACCAGGCGGATTAACGAACCGCGCACCTCTCGCTTTCCGGCAATTGCGCTACCAGTTAGATGCTAACCGATGGCCATCCCATTTCCATCTCAACTCAGCTTTTCATGGTATACGTACCATAGCTTTCAGCACTCACACGTCTAACGTGTTGAGCCGGTTAGCCGATATCGGCAATGACCGCGAGGCTGAAAGCTTTAGCAATGAATTTTGACTTGTTTTGTTTGTTAACTGCTGTTTTAACGCCGCAGTTCGCGTTGCGAATGTTTCACAAGAATGCTGGGTTGTGAACAAAACTTTCGCCCCAGGCGGGACCGTATACGTTCGTATTCTGCACGCATTTACGAAGCTGAGTTGGAATGAAATGGTGCCCCGGTAGCGTAACTGGTAGCGCACTTGCCCGGAAAGCGAGAGGTGCGGGTTCTAGTCCCGCCTGGGGCGAAAGTTTTGTTCACAACCCAGCATTCTTGTGAAACATTCGCAACGCGAACTGCGGCGTTAAAACAGCAGTTAACAAACAAAACAAGTCATTCTCATTTTTTGAGAGCAAAATTTGACCTTTTTATACAGACTTCGATCAACGTTCCGCCGATGATATCCTGGCGAAATACCAACCCGCTGCAGCGCAATTCGCGGATGATGTACAGCCGGCAGTCGAACTGGCATCCTCTGCCTCTGAAAGTGCTCCATCTGAGCAAGTGATCACTTATTATTCACCAGATAATCTTACGGAGTGCAGGTAGGCTTCTCGTTTTCATGAACCTGTTCATCTCATAGGCGGAGTTTACGATAGGAAGGCGGCCCACTGGAATCAAAGTAGAGTGGTCAGTGGTGCAGGATGAAAAAAAAACCATGAGAAACGGCCCAGAACCCGAGAAATGGGACCCCTTCCTTGCCCGTTGATTTCCGCATTGATGCGACTCTCATCGTGCTGCCCTCTTCAACGCTTACGCTCTCTCGGCTACATAATTATGAGGACAGCGTGTGAGCGCGTTCATATTCACTTTTGTCGACCTGCGGCGAGTGGTGAACCAGACGGTGGGCGTACAGCCTCGATAGCGCCTTGAGGACGGCATTGCTAGTCCGCTGAGGGCATATTCTTCGCTGCGTATTGCGTGTCGGCCGCACCCTTTGGAGGTCCGCTTGTCTCCCATTAGGTAGGCTTCCCTTCTTCGACCTTCGGCCTTCTCGTGGAATCGTCCTTTGTTGCTATGCTATGTCAAAATACTTGCAGAGCCTTTCTGGATGCAAAAAGGAAGCTGCGTCTCGTTCTGAGTAGTGTGGGTAATCTGCCTTCAATGCCATTCGATGGCACTTGCCGGTGAGGTTAAGGACATTTTTCAGTGATGCGTGTAATGTAGTGTTGCCAATGAATAATTTTTTGCTTGTATAGGTGAGAACATCAGAATGGCATGTGCGGTTCCCTAGACGTTTTCTTTAAGTTTTGTATTTGTATATTTTTGATTTTTTTTTTCAGCGGAATGAAGCTTGAAAATGAACGCGAGCAACTTGTAATGTTGCTGCGTACTTTGCTTGCTGAAGCTGTGAACAACAGGGAGCAAAGTCTTGTGGCTCACACTAGAGAAGTGATGCGATGTCTTCAAATTTTTGACAATAAAGGGTTAGTAAATACGAGTTTTTTTGCTTGTTCTTTTTCAGGAATTTCAGTTTGATCAGACCAAAGAATGAGAATTACTGGGTTCATTCAATGAGCTGTTTGAGAGCGTTGGATAATCTGCATCAACCCGTGATGAAAGTGAATACCGATGAAATGTTCCCTATCCCTACTATATACAGGGGTGGCCAAAAAAAGACACTTTCATCCCACATTTCAGACAGCATTAACACATGGGCG